ACGACGACGATTCACAAACACAAAAACAACTCGCAGAGCAATTAAGCGTTAGTCAACAAGCTGTTTCCAATCGCCTACGAAAGATTCAGAAGGTCGGCAGATGGATATCACATGAGTTGAACGAGAGGCAGATGGAGAGGCGCAAAAACATATGCGAAATTTTGCTCGAACGATACAAAAAAAAGTCGTTCTTGCATCGTATCGTTACTGGGAATGAAAAGTGGATATATTTTGAGAATCCCAAGCGCAAAAAATCATGAATAGACCCAGGCGCACCATCCACATCGACCGCAAGACCGAATCGTTTTGGCAGGAAGACGATGCTCTGTGTTTGGTGGGACCAGAAGGGTGTGGTCTATTATAAGCTGTTAAAGCTTATACGCTTGCTGAAACGGTTAATACCAAACGCTACAAATAACAATTGATCGATTTGAACCGTTCGCTACTCGAAAAACAACCAGAATATCGAAAAAGGCAACACAAGATCATTTTTCTCCATGACAATGCTCCATCACATACGGCAAAACCGGTTCGCGACACGTTGGAAGCAATCAGCTGGGAAATGCTAGCCCATGCGGCTTACTCACCAGACTTGGCTCCTTCCGATTACCACTTGTTTGCATCGATGGGTCACGCACTTGCTGAGCAGCGCTTTGGTTCGTACGAAAATGTGAAAAAATGGCTCGATGAATGGTCACGGCAAAAGGGGAAGATTTTTATTGGCGTGGTATCCACAAATTACCCGAAAGATGGGAAAAATGTGTAACTAGCAATGGAGCATACTTTGAATAAACCACTTTTTATCATTCTTCCGTATTTTTTTTTGAAAAAAAATCCGCATTTCATACTTGTACATCTGGTAGATAAAAAACATTTTTCTATTAAGATTACACATTTTATGAGCTTACACGACCAATTTTTGTGAAACAATAAAATAAAAGTATATTATAATGTTGAAATATACTTAAAACCATTTCAAATACCGCAGCTAAATATTGTATGTTTGTTTTCTTAGATGTATAATATGTTATTCACAAAAAATGTATTATAATATATGTACAACCTATCGTGTTTTATTTATGACATAATTTTTAAAGATTTAATTAAAATATAGTACAACATATATATATACGCACACATGCATGTACATGTACGCACATGCAAGCACAGATGAGAAAAACACAATGTCCTGTTTTATACACATGTATATATATATATATATATATATATGTATATGTACATATATTATATATAAAATATATTTTTTTTTGTTATTCATCGTGCATAAATGATACTAACTGATTTTGCAATACATTCATATATATATGACTATATAATATAATTCACTTATCTACTTATTCATTTATTATTAAAAGTAATCCTACAATGATACAAAAATTTTACATGACTGTCAAAATTTAATATGTAATACTACGGATGTGTGTGTGTGTGTGTGTGTGTATGCGTGTGTGTGTGTATGCGTGTGCGTGCCTGCGCACGCGTACGCGTGCAACCGTATGTATGTGTGAGGAGAAAGAATTGTGAAAAAAAATAAAAAAATATAATAGTAATAATATACTGAAAATAAATATAAATAAAATGATAACATAATATTGATAATAACAGTAATTACGATACGTGTAATGTCATAATTAGTTAAACATTAGTTATACATTAAAATTAGAGTTGGTGTCCAGAAAATATTTACGTAAAAAATATTTATAATACTTTGTAGTAATTATATTAACAAAATCTTAGAACAAAAAAAGAGTCTCCATAAGGTCTAATTCGGTCCAATTTGAATTTAATTTTAAACTGTCAGAAGTTTTACTATTGTAAAAATTATAGAAATAAGGTAATTTTAGTTTAAACACCTATATGTAAACACATATTTGACATCTATTTATCCTGTAATTAATTAGTCACATTTTTACCATTTTTACCATCAATATTCAGGGACGCGTTCAGATTTTCACTCGAGTGCTACCCCAGTAAGAAACAACAATGGAATCGACGTCGAAACGACATCGATTCGATGTCGATTCTATTGTCATTTCTCACTGGAATTCAAATGTCATTTTATCCTTGTTTTCACATTAAATAAAAATGATAACATGACACCTGGGGAACACTCGGGTGGGAATCTAAACGCGCCCTTGAATGTTGAAATAAACAAAATACACACGCAAAGTCACGAGGTGCTTGTAGTCATATCAGAATCAGACAAATGCCCAATGTTGTTTTTTGAAATTGATTCGTCAACACATAAGTTGCGTTCGCTTCAGGCGCTGTACGCATATTCTATCTAACGCTCACTACATATGAAAATAAAATGAAGTTTATAGAACATGGACGTTCAAAAGTGCATCTGTAGACAATGAAAGATTTCGAGTGATGTTTGTCTTGTATTGTAATGCTGTGAAAACTGAGGATGTATTAATTAATAAATGTACATATGTATTTTATGTTCTGTTAGTTCTTCCCTAATAAAATGAGCGCTGATGAATCAATTTACAATTTAGAGTACGAATTAATTCGAATTCGAATCGAATCGAATCACAATGGATCTAAAAGATTCGAAACCGAAATTTTAAATCACTCGCCTATTTTATAGCTTAATTTGCGCTTTTAAATCACTCGCCTATTTTATAGCTTAATCTCTCTCTCTCTCTCTCTCTCTCTCTCTCTTTCTCCTGCGATCAATATTGTATCAGCGCTTACCAATCTTCGTGCAAGCACGTGTGCTTATTGGCTTACATTTTGAAGAAAATATTAGGTGTTGGAATTAATTCGTAGCGTTTTACAAGTGATGGGAAGTACTTTCATTAATGTATTTTTTAATGCTCATGTGAAATAAATAACATTCTTTCATTAAAAAACGCTACGAATTAATTCCAACACCTAATACTATTCATTTTGTTTAAGCCAATGAAAATAAAGGTATAAATTTAGTACAACAATTAGCTCTAAATTAGGTTTCAACACATTGAAAAAAACGTTTTGTACATATAAACATTCATTTTCTTGACAACCAAATTTTGATTAGAACAACAAATTTGGTTAGAATAAAAAAAATTTTGGTTAAGACGACACAATTTTTAATAATTTAAATAAAAGAGTAAGAAAGTTTTTGTCAGTCACATATCAACAAAACGGATGGTTATATGTACTAAACATTTCTGTCAGTGCAGAAATAAATAGTCACTAGTTCCTTTAAAATAATACATTATAACCGCGATTATTTCACTGGTGAAAAAAAAATTTTTATGAAAAGATGTAGTAGAAAAATTACATAGATTGAGACAAGATCTTAGAAATTCTTAATTTTTCGTAGATGTTCGTAGTGGGATGTAGAATGAGGTTTGTCTGTCTTAAAAATTCTTAGTTTTTCGTAGATACTCACTCGTAGTGAGACATAGAGTGGTATCATTTGAGGGCGGAGGATTTCTAGGTTCTTCAAACAAATAACGCCGCTCTACGTCCCGCTGAATATCTATGAAAAACTAATAATTTCTAAGATGTCTCAATCTATGTATTAGGTGTTGGAATTAATTCGTAGCGTTTTACAAGTGATGGGAAGTACTTTCATTAATGTATTTTTTAATGCTCATGTGAAATAAATAACATTCTTTCATTAAAAAACGCTACGAATTAATTCCAACACCTAATATAATAGATTTTCGTAAAAGTTTTTCCGCCAGAGTTGTTTACTTATACACATATAAAGATTTATTCTCTAATTAATAATTATTGTTATAATACAATGTGATATCTCATGTATTAGAAAAATAAAAGATAACAGACTAATAAAAACTCTAATTTAAAAAATAATAAGTATTTTCAATGACGATTTTAAATCTCTTTAAATAAATGAGAAAATGAGTCATTTTTAACGTGCAGGTATTACCAAAAAGTATTGTTTTTAATGCATTTATGTCACAGTATCAATTTTTTGATATACTTATATATTAAAAAATAACTTATATATTAAAAAATAAATTTTTTCAGCTTGTAAGTTTTTTTAGATGTCAATATGTGAAAATTTGATTCAAATTCGATTCGTTTTCGAATAAAAACAAAATTCGATTCGATTCGATTTTGCAAATGCTTGATTTGCACATCTCTATTATAATTCCTTTTGGAGCAACTGCTAGAATTCTTAATTATGACATTATTTGTAATGCTTCAAGAGACCTAGTAATGTTACCAGGCGAAATTTATTGTATTTTCAATAGAAATATAATTTATTCAAGGAAAAACACCTGGGCTTGGGTATTACTAAGGCTCGATTGCATCAAAGTTACTTTGATTTTAAGTAAGGCTCAAAACTCTCCGTCTCTTTTTCGCTTTAAAACAGACAGAGAGAGTTTTAAGTTTCACTTAAAGTCAAGGTAACGTTTGTGCAATCGGGTCTAAGTGATGCAGATAGAGAGAGAAGCTTAAATAATATAATAATTATAAAACGTATACATAAAATATAACAACAATTGATCATACACATGTTCATAGCTACAGCTCAATTTATACACACGCACATACATATATAAATAGTTCAACGTTTTTCTCTATTTAAAGTATACACACTCACACACACACGTAGACACGCATGCATACGTAAAGAGATATATAGATGACATAATAACACGATAACATAAAAGTGTAGGTGATAAAAATGAGATTAAATAGTTATAGAATAAAAAAGTATTAAATATGTTCGTTTAAGCTAAAATCACCTGATAATGATAATTTTTACAAAACAAAACGTTTTTAGTAGTTTGAAAAGAAATTCAAACTGGTCCAAAATCGGTCTTACGAAGATTCCTCTTTTTTCTATTTGTTTTATTTTTTTGCAAATAAAATATAATCGAAATTGTTTATCTATAGATATAGAAAATAGTTTGAACATTAGACAGATCTTAATCTCGAAGCATAACGTATATTTTAAAAAAATATAAAAGTATTAATTTTCAAAAAGTATTAACAAAATATAAATATTTCTTAATTCCTAATTTGCTAGATATGACCTTGACTATGTCTCATCAAATGATGAGACTACTTTAACATTGTTTTTTTGTGATTTAAAGGATTCAACGCCATCTCTTGTTACAGAAGTACCAGTAACATCTAAGTATTCTAATCTTGATGCATTTAAAGCCAAATGGATCAGACTCGAATTTGTTACACGTGGATAATTTCTGCGAAAAAGAATATTAGATGTAAATATTTTCCGCTTTTTTTAAAAAGTTTTTAAATTTTTTGGTTCCATTGACTTACCTAACAACCAATGTTTTAAGATTTGGATTATTAGATATTCGTCTATCTTCTCGTCTATCTTCTCGTATATCTTCTCGTAATATTATTATTCTTCTTTGTGGAGCTAAATAGCTATTTACTCTTTCTCTATCGCAAATATCACTTCCAAGTGCACAGATTGCTCTATCTGATATCAAACATCGTTGAAATCCATAATTTTCAAAAGAAAATCCATCCTCGACTAAAAACTGAATTAGAATAATTTATTTTTATGGTCATTATTAAAAGACCACAATGTAAACATAACAATTAAGAAATAATAGTGTGAAACTAGTCCTCATTATTAAAAAGATTAAGTTTTCTCAGAGTTCTATACAGATTTTCGATAATTCCAGATAATTATGGATAATTTGAAAAAATTATTTTGAATATAAAACTGCGATTCAAAGATATGGGGGAGGTTAACTTCATGCAGTCCTCCATTTTCGAAAAAAAATAATGTTTTATTAGAGTTCTGGATAGATTTCTTATAATTCCACAGTTCTTGATGCATTTAAAAAATAATTCCGTTCAAGAAAGTAAAAAAAAACTATGACATTCAAAATCGGTATCTAAAAAATAGTCATAACTTTAAAAATGTTAACGCAATTTTTTTATTAAGGTGTTTTATTGAACTCTTTGAGGACTATAAAGAAGTCTCTCAATAGAAGTCCTAGAACTGTCAAAAAAATTTTTTGCAATACTTTAAAATTACAAAATTGACACCTATAATCGCCCGTAACTTTTTCGATTTTCTACAGATTTTCGTTATTAGAATTTCTGATAGAACTCTGCGAGGGCTAGCCAAAATTCTGAACAGAACTGTTACAGCTCTCAAAAAATTTTTGTACTTTATTAAAATTGGAAAATCGACACCTATATATATATGTGTATATATATATAATACACACACACACACACACACACACACACATATATATATATATATATTATATATAAATATAATCGCTCGTAATTTTTTTCGATTGCAATTGTATAGATTTTTGTCATTAGGATTTTCGGTAAAACTTTACGAGGGCTATCCAGAACTCTCAAAAAATTTGTTCTGTTAGTTTTCTACATTATTGATATTCATAGTCCGTTCTTATTTCAAGATCGTCTTAATTAAGTGTCTAAGACGGCCTTCTGACTGGTTTGTGATATCTTATTATTGCATTTAAAACTAAAAATATAAGAATCTTAAATCTAAAGTCTTAAATATAAGAATCAACTATGAATATTGATCTCAATAACGTTACTACCATAAATGTGAGTTGGGACAGTGCAGGAAACTTAGGATATACTTAGGAAAATTAGCATGTACTTTTATTAAATTCAGTCGTGGTATCTATCCATGAGTCATTAAAGAAAGTTTAAGTTTTTACATTTTTTTTAGTGACTCATGGATGGATACCACGACTGAATTTAACAAAAGTATATGCTATCCCAAATTACTGACACTGTTTCAAGTCACCTAAATTTGCAGTAACGAGTTACTTTTTAGAAAAATGACGGTAACAATAACGAGTTACTTTTATAAAGTAATTTTGCCTATCCTTTTAATTAGCATCATAGTATTGTTCGTAGTATTTCAAAACTATAAGAAATAATCAATTAGAGAAATAATCAACTTTATTTTTCGCGAGCACAAATCTTTTTGTGTGTAATATCTTTCTTTGCTTTCTCTATGTACCTGTGCTAGATTGCCATCTTCAAATATAGGTAATCGTAAAGCTTGTTGCTGCCGATGTTGTATAACTTCAGGCGATTCATCATTTCTCCATGTCGAAGGGCATTCCAAATATAGATGCGTTAGAGTTTTAGTACTACTAAAACAACCAACTTCACTATCCCCAAGTGCTGTATCCCGTAAGTCTAAAATCTGAAACACAAGAATATTTTGTATGCAATGTCTTTTCAGTAAGACTATAAGCATAAGAATGATTAATGTGATATAAATTGAAATGCACAAGAAAAATATTATACCTCTAATGTTTTGAATCCAAATCTAGTTGCTAAACTAGCATATGCAACACACTCGCCCAGACGATGACATGAATTCAATCTGAGTTCTTTAAGTTTTGGTATTTTGCTAATAACTAGTAAGGAATGTGGCGTAAACCACTCACAATTACTTAAAATCAAACACTAAAAATAATATTGAATGTTTAATACAATATCAATAATTATAATGATCAAGAAAACCGATAAAATAAGTAATAATAAAGTGTATTTATTATTTTTTTAATTTTTCATCATAGATAAATTTTTCTAAAAAACTAAATAAAAATTACAAAAATAAGTCATTTACTGAAAACTATATTGAAAACCAAGTATATATATTAAATATACAATACAGAGTCGATATTAACAAGTACTCTAACAAATTTTAAGAATTGATTCCTCACATAAATTCACGATGAATACTTCATATGATCATAATATATCCAAAATAATAGTTTCAAACATACTTCAAAACATGCTTCAAACATAGCATGTCAAAATTTAAGGAAAACTTTCATCTTTTTCTAAAACTTCGAGAACTACTCAAGTTATTTTGATAAAACTTTAAACACAAAATTTCAAAATCCGAATTTTTCGAGATTTTCGCTAAAAATTTTTTTTCCAATTCTGTAGGGATATTCTGTAAAGATGTGTGGCACTGTGTGAGAGCGACGAAATTCTTACTCTGACGAGATTCTGTCTCCGACAGATTGCGGATTCAAATCCCACATCCCGTATATATGGAAAACTTTCGTAATCCATATCAACTTAGCAAAAGTCGTAGAGAAACTCTTTAAATGTAGATGACTGTGATTAGGTTCAGCTATCTCAAAATACAGTTCCTCATCTTCCTATTACTGTTACTACTTAACATCCTGTATGTTTGAAACTATGTCATTTCAGATGTGTAGTCATATGCAGTTCTCATTTTGAATTTGTGTAAGGAATTAATCACATCTTAAAATCTTTTAGAGTACTTAGTACCACTTTGTACACCTATATTTTATATATGGGGCATTCCACATCAAATCGGATGGCCTTTATTATTGATATATGGCCTTTACTACGATATTTGGCAAATTCATTGGATCTAACACTTCCTCGAATAGTTCATGTGGAGTAGGTGTCTGGTAATCAGATGGGCGTTGAAGGCTTGCATGAGCCATTCTTTTTACTGTACCACCTATTCCGTCACATGAATGCTTGCCATGCGCCGGGGCAAAAAATGCTATTTCCAAAATCTTCTTCATCATAATAGATATTTGTAAAGTTCTTAAAATTTTTGAATTATTGAGGAACACCATCAAAAAAATAGTATATCTTAGCAGGATCATTCAAAATAATCCTTTCAAATTCATTAATAATTTTGGAAATATAAAAAAATAGCTACTGGTGCAAGCCTTCAAGCCCATCTGATCGCTAGATAACTACTCCACATGAACTGTTCGGATGGGCGTCAGATCCAATAAATATGCCAAATATCATAGTAAAGTTCTCATTAATGGAAGAATAACTTAGCAAAAGAATATTTTACGATTCGATTTGGAAGAAAAAAACTTACATCTCAAAAAATGCGTAGTATTATTCCTCAAAAAATGATACATTTATTGTAAAAAAATTTTCAAATTTTCTGAATTATAAAATGTACAAAAAAAAACTGAAAAATAAAAATAATCCAATATTTATTAATAAATTTCTTCACATATTCTAAAAAACGTTATTTTATTCGAATGACATTCTTATAAATCCTTATTCTCTAAATAATTATAAAACTGAAAATATATTATCTAGTATTATCATGAAATAACATGATTTATGTAACTCGTCAGCAGATTTAAAAATCTACTAACATTAAATAATATATATAATATTTTGAAAAATTAAAAAAAACATGGACGAAAATTTTGACTATAATCAAATATGACTTTGTATTTGTACTAAGAATATAGGAGAATTTTTTTAATAAAAAATAAATGTCGATCTTGACAAAAAACGATTTTGTTTATTTCAATCAGATTTCTCGAATAGAAACAAAAACTTGAAGTTTTTTTTCGTATTCTTTTCCTTATAGAGAATTTTAAGATGAACAATTCGATGTGATTATGTTTTTGTTTTTCCATAACCAAATTTTGAACAGAAGTTCAGCTAAACGTGTTTACAAAATAAAATAAATTGAAAATATTTAAAAATTCATCTAGGAAACTAATGAAGATAAAAATCTAAAAAAAATAATCGAATACGTATTTTAATCTGAAGAATATATTAAAAAATCGATAAAAAATCGATAGGCATCGGTGACGAAGACTGTCCGATTTGGAATGTTCCATATATATATATATATATATATATACACACACACACACACACACACACGCACGCACGCACACGTATATAAATTTTATAGAAAACTATTTCAAGTAAAAGTTATAAGGATCAAAAAATTCAGTTTGACCTTGGGTATCATCAAGATCAGACTAAGATTATATTGATTTTTTTAAGAAATTTTTTTAAACACAATTTTTCATTACATATTCTTGTAACTTATTTTGAGAGCTCTTTAAAACACTGTAACGAAATATTTCTTCATTAAATAATTTTCTAGTTGGCTTGAAAATTACAGTGCCACCAGCGTTAGTATTGCCAAAGTATCCGACCGACGACTAAAACCTCTTGAGGACCTCTTTCACTAACCTTGATTAATCCATGGTTAACTCAATCATCACGATTGTCAACGTGAGAACTAAACACAGAAGAGGAAGAGAGAGGAGACGTTCTGATATTGGGTCATCTAAAAAGTATCCGCGGTACTTTGTCACTAGATATATGACCATCAACACATATCTAGTGACAAAAAATCGCGGATACTTTTTAGATGACCCAATATATTAAATTGTTGGTATTTCTGCGAGTTAATCGTCGATTAATTTAATCAGAAGTTAATGAAAGAGGCCCTAAATATTGTTCAGAATCATGATCTGAATAATATTTGTCAAGAACAAGGTCATTGGAAGGTTATCTCCAATTGGAGATCCTCTTATTTTCATTTTTGCATTAAAAATCCATTTTTACCTAAAAATATAAATAAGAGAAACAATTTGTAATAGCCTTTTTTCAGAAATGCTTACTTTTCGAGATATTTAAGGGGTCCGGAACTATTTGTACACCGTGTGTGTGTGTGTGTGTGTGTGTGTGTGTGGGTGTGTGTGCGTGCGTGCGCGCGCGCGCGTGTGTGTGTGTGTGTGCGCGTGGGTGCGTGCGTGCGTGTGTAAAAGGAATTCCATTTTAAATAAGGCGTTAAGGACATGCTTAGTCAGGAACTTAAAAATAATCAATTTTGTTAGTTTTTGACATTTTTTGTAAATATAATATTTGGAAGATATTCTCTGAAAGTTAATCCGATTAAGACGGAGTTATCGACGTTTAAAGTATAATCTGCTCGATCGTTAAGAGTAGATCTAGTGTGCAGTTGAAACAAAGATCGTTTTTCTAACTGTTTTTGTGAGTCTTGTGTTTTGGAGGCTACAACATCTTTTGAAAATGTACTATATGGATCTGGAATAGATAACTCTATATAAATAAGAAGAGAAAGAAATGAATATTTGATTTAAGTATATATTTCTAAAAAGTCTTATAATTTTTGTAAAAAAATTCCCAAAAATCACATATTTTTTTCTGACTGAGCATGATACCTTAAGATTTCTCGAAAACTATAATAGACACGAAAAAATGTTTCAAACAAAAGTTATATGGTTCGAAGGGAGATATAAGAACATATTAATTTAATTTTGGACGTTATTACAATCAAGGTCATTTCGAATTTTTTAAATGAAACTCTCCCAACTCCATTTTCATTACATATTCTCGTGGCTTACTTCAACAGTTTTTCAAAATAATAAAATTCTTCGAAAGCTCGAAAGTTATGGTACTATCAGCGTTAGCTAGGATTACCAATCGTACTCTTTTCGAGGTTGGAGAACAGTGTACTCTTACTTTTCACTTATTGTACTCTTTTTTGAGAAATGACAGAATTTAAAAAATTATTATTTAATAATCAAATTTATTAGGTATATATTATTAGGTATACTTTGCTTCCGCCGTTTTCCTATAGATGGCTTTAACGGTAAGTGGTGGTCGAAATAAATACATTATAGACGTCATACAATAAACTTGGGCAATATAACCCCATAGAAACATTAGTCGATTTGTGTCTGTATCATAAAGTTATTCTCGATTGAAAATGTCAGTTTACGAGCCAAATTCTCATCATTTGCGGGAGGTTTTAATTTTCTACTTCAATATGAAGAAATCTGCGACTGAGGTTCGAATGCTCTCAAATATTTATGGTGAGGCCGCTATTATTGAAAGAACGTGTCATGAATGGTTTCAACGCTTCAAGAACGGTGATTTTGACGTCGAAGACCGGCATAGCGTTGGAAGAGAGAAGGTTTTCGAAGATGTAGAATTGAAGGAATTACTTGATCAAGACTCGTGTCAAGAAGAATTGGCACGATCATTGGGAGTGACTCAACAAGCCATTTCAAAACGCCTCAAAGTTATGGGAATGATTCAGAAGCAAGGAAATTGGGTGCTGTACGAATTGAAGTCAAGAGATGTTGAAT